TGGTTGATTGGATTCCAATCAGTAGCCGGATGTGTGCGGTCCGATTGGCTGGCTCGTTCAAAGCTTCGAAGTCGCGTGGGACTAACAGGTGTCTATTCGTTATCGCTGCCTATGCACCGACAAACTGTAGCGATGACTCGGTAAAAAACGACTTCTATCGTCAACTGAACGAGCTCCTTCGCCACAGAAGAAGCTCGGACACTGTAGTGCTGGCTGGGGATCTGAACGCTCAAGTTGGAAAATTATCCACAGATGAACTGCATCTGGGCGGCCAACATGGTATAGGCTCCCGTAATGATAACGGTGAGCGGTTACTTCATTTGTGTGAAGATGCTCGCTTATTTCTTGCGAGCACTAATTTCAGACACAGCACCCGCCGGAGGGTGACTTGGCGCCCACCAGCCTCGAACCAGCCATGGACGCAAATCGATCACATTGCTATCAGTTACCGATGGAGAGGCTGCGTCCAGAACTGTCGCTCGATTTGGAGCACAGGTGTGGACACCGACCATGCACTTGTATGTGCTGACATTCGGATGCGTTTTGGCGGACGCCCACGACGACGTTGTGAGCGCATTGACACCAGCCAACTGGCGAAGCCATCTGTTCTGAATGCCTATCAAAGTACGCTGTCATGCGAGTTGGATAAACGCTCACTGGATGCAATTGAAGCTCACTGGTCTCATATTCACCAGACCTTACTAGCAGCAGGAAAATCCTCATGTGGTGTGTCTAATCGCCAACATGGACATTGGGTCTCTTCACAGTCTCTGGAACTTATCGATGCTCGCCGGCATATTCCGGCTGGAAGCGAACACAATGAAACTCGCAAAGAGCTCCGGGCAAAACTCCGTGCTAGCCTGAAGAGAGACCGCGAATCCTGGTGGTCTAATCGTGCAACAGAGATGGAAATGGCCGCTGCCCTTGGTAACCATCGTAAGTTATTCCGTCTGACACGGAAAACGGGCAGCAGGAGACCTGGTGTTAGTGAAACTATACGTGACGAGAGTGGACAGCCTATCCACAACTTATCAAAACGCTTAGAGCGTTGGGCTGAGCACTTTAAAAGGCAATTTAATCGGTCGGAATGGTTAGATTTCTCGCCGGCCACTGATCGCCCCACTCCCTGGGCTGTCCCTTTGGATCCACCCTCTCGCTCAGAAGTCGAACGTGAGATCGGACTGTTGAAGTTAAATAAAGCCGCGGGACCAGATGATCTTCCTCCAGCCCTCTTCAAATTCGGGGGACCTGCTCTTATGGATGATTTACACGAGTTACTAGTCAAACTGTGGGAGCAGGAAACTGTCCCAACCGATTGGAGCCGCTCCGTCATAGTCCCAATTTTCAAAGGAGGCTCACGATCGGAATGCGGCAGCCATAGAGGAATCAGTCTGATCTCCATCGCCTCCAAATTGCTTGCCTCTGTCATCCTTCACAGACTGACTGACACTCGTGAAAGCCAGATTCGTGAAGAGCAAGCTGGATTTCGTCGAGGTCGTGGCTGCATTGACCACATCTTCACTTTGCGTCAGTTGTTGGAGCACCGTCACATATATTGGCAGCCCACCGTTGTCGTGTTCCTCGATATCAAAGGTGCATTCGATTCGGTGGATAGACATGCACTTTGGGACTGTCTACTCAGGAAAGGTGTACCTGAGAAATATGTGAATATTATCCGAGCATTATATGCGCGTAGCTCGGGCAGAGTGAGGGCTTACGGCAAGTTGTCGTCGCCCTTTAATATCTCCAGCGGCGTGAGACAAGGATGCCCGCTGTCACCTTTCCTCTTCAACTTCGCTGTTGACGAAGTCATGGAAATCGCGTTCACAGGACACGACTTAGAAGGTGTGGAGCTACTCCCAGGAGAACGACTTCTTGACTTAGAGTATGCTGATGATATTGCCCTAATCTGTGACAGCTCACAAACGTGCCAAGCGGCACTGGACAGATTAGCACTAGCTGTCCGTCACTTCGGGCTTTGCTTCGCACCCTCGAAGTGCAAAGCGTTCCTCCAAGATTGGTCTGGACCGCCCCCTACGCTGACCGTTGGTGGGGATCAGCTAGAAGTCGTTCAAAAATTCAACTACCTGGGAAGTTGTATCAGCGCCCGTGGGATCGAAGATGAGATCACGAACCGTATAGCAAAAGCTCGGGGCGCTTTTGCTAACCTTCGCCACTTATGGCGCCGGCGCGACATCACTCTTGCCCTGAAGGGTAGAGTGTACAATGCAGCAGTACGTTCGACCCTACTGTACGGTTGTGAAACCTGGTCGCTTAAAGCAGCGGACCTGAAGAGGCTAGTTACGTTCGACCATCGGTGCCTTCGTAATTTAGCTCACATCTGGTGGGAACACCGCGTGAGCAACGAGCGTGTTCGACGCCTTGTTTACGGCACAGGAAAAGGAAATGAACCGCTCAGCACCGTTATTTCACGCACCAGGCTCCGATGGCTCGGCCACGTGTTACGCATGCCAGCCCACCGACTCCCGCGACGTGCGTTGTTTGCGCGCCGGGGGTGTGGATGGAAGAAGAGGAGGGGTGGCCAAGCGATGACTTGGTCCAAAGGAATGAAGGCCCTCACTTCTGAGCTGGCCTCGGTTGGAGCGTCTCGGCTCCCTGGTTGGGGTCCGAAAGACGATGAACACGTTTGGTTGGACACACTTGCTGATATGGCTAGGAGCCGACCTCAGTGGCGTTCGTGCTGTGAGTTTCTTTGTCCTACCCCATCCCTCTTAGCCTCCCCCTCCAACCACGATCTCATTATTTAACCTTATATAATTTTGCATAGTAATTTTTTTGATGCATAGTAGCCGGCTGGTAGCTTACCGGAACGATGCCCATCCGTTACCGGTAGCTCAGCCGGCTTGCCCCAGTTGAATTCTTTCTTTCTCCTTTTTTCTGTGTATTGCGGCACAGTAGCTGAGGTGTTCCCCACCTCTAGCTAACGTGTATGATGATGATGATGAGCACGGAAACAATAAAAGACGATCTCTTTCTGATAAACGTCAGCGGTCATTCTTAAGGTCAGAAGCACAAATAAAGTGCTTAATATGATTGAAAAATGGATGGAAGTAGTAAGAAGGGATTTCTCTGCGTATCTGCTTCTGAAATCGCTCAGGCACAAAGTACTGTTAGGTTGGAGAGCATTCGCGATATTTCATATCCACAAAGCGTTTGTCCAGGAATTTCTTGAATTTCGAGACCGACTTTGCGGCAAGCTATTTTTTAGTAGTTCACACAAGTCTTTTCGAGTATTTTTGTTTGTTTACAATTTGAAGTCCCCATCACGTGGTCACCAACCTGGAAGACGCACGGATCCTGATGAGGCCAAACATGCGGTGACATTCTTGATGTTCGTCTTCAACGTCATCGGTTGTCCACCCCAGCAGTTTCTCCACTCACGCCCAGGAATTACAAATAATGCTGGGCGAGGAAATCGATTGGTTGGCATGTGCATAACGTGACCAAGCCAACGGAAACGGTGTTCGAGATTAATCTCCTGGAGACAGGGATTGTTCGCTCTGAGTACTAGGCTTCTAACTTCCGAGTTGCTTACGTGGTGTTGTCACCACACATGAGCGATCGTTCGCAAGTAGCGATTGACGAAAGATGCTAGTGGTTTCAGATCTTCTCCACCGACAGGCCAGGTCTCGTAGCCGTACAGCAGGACTGCACCGACAGTGACATTGTACACGCTGCCTTTGAGCCTTAGACTGATGTCGAAGCGGCGCCACAAGTACCTCAGGTTAGCGAACAGCAAGCGGGATTTAGCGATTCGCTGAGGCACTTCATCCCCAACAACGCCAATTGCCGTGATGCAACTTTCAAGATAAATGAAGCGATTCACCTGCTCCAGGCAATCATCTGCAATTGTGAGTGTTGGCATAGGCACTTACCAATCGTTGAGCGGCGTTTAACACTTGAACGGGGGAAAAATACAAAGCATTAATAAATAGCTTGATTGTTAAGCGGTTCAAAAGGTTTTGGATGGCTTGTGGGTCGTCCCCCAGCAAAGCGATGTCATCAGCATAATCCAGGTGCGAAACTCTGTCCCCGGGGAGGAGCTCAACGCCGCAGATCTCGGCTCCTTCCAGTGCGCATTTGAGAACATCATCGATGGCAAAATTGAATAATAATGGTGAGATCGGGCAACCTTGGCGTACACTGTTGGTAACAACAAAAGACGAAGAAAGCTTCCTACAAGCTTTAGCTTCGTCTACTGTGTGACGATAGAGTTCTTTCAAAACTGTGACAAATTGGTCGGGTACATCACTTCTTAGCAGACAGTTCCAAAGGGGATGTTCTATCTATGAAGTCAAAGACAGCATTGATGTCCAAAAACACCACTACTTCTGGTCTTAAGTAGATGTGACGATGTTGAAGAATTTGAACCGCAGAGAGGTATGAAGGCGGCATACTTGACAAAAACCCACCGTTCTGCAGTATTCATCAATAACCTACTGAATTACGCTACTCAACACCAGTAGCAGTAGCGGCATGCGTCGTGAGGATGTCACATTTTCAACAAGTATACATATTGTACATAAGGAAGGGTAATGTAAGGAATTCGCGGTCCGAAACATTTGCGGGCGGCAGGTGGGATTCGGTCTCTTATGCGATTTTCACAATAAGCAGTTAGTCGTAATAGTAGCAGACAAATTAATAAGGTGAAAAAGCTACAAAAGATAGCAATTAGAATGAGGATGCGATCACATTCAAACAAGCGATGACGCAAACCCAATATGAAGAAATGAAGATAAGACTAAGAACCATTGGAACAAGCCAGATGAGGATGGAAGCGGACAAGAATATCATAGCAAGCACCAGTCTTGCAGCTTTACACATTATAACATGACCGGTCTGAACTATGAAACCTAGAACAGTTAAGTCATCGTATCATTGTGATACTTGTGATTTGGTACACTTGTCGCTCAACAGATAATCGAAAGTAGAGAGCAATCACAAGTGCAAAAACAAAAATCAAAGTAAGAGGAATGCACCTTTCGCAACATTGCCAGGATCTGAGGAAGCTTTGAGGCGGATTATACGTTCGACTAGCTGATTATAAGTCAGGTTGCCAACAACCGAGACCAAATCCGAGTTCTCTGGGTCCACTAGCCAGCCGTGGTAAATGGGAATCTTAAACAAATCGAAAACTCCCAGGGCGGGTGTATACTCGAATGAGGTTACTCTGAAACGAAAGGAAAGAGAAATCCCCGTAAAAATCAAGGAAAGGGAAGGTATCTCAGTTAGGGAGGAATAGCAGTAAGCTAAAATAGTGACAAAATAGCGGCAGCAAGATAATCTGCTGTGAGACAATGTTGCAAGGGCTAAACACATTGAGGTGCCAAGTCGAAAATAAAATTACCCAAGATGACTTTGTGAACGAGACTCGCAGTGCCAGGAAGACCTAAGGAAAGAGCGAGAATCCCTCCACACTAAGAATTTGTGTGCTGGCTAGGAAACTGGGAAATCAAGTGTACAGGAAGTCGTGTAGTGTAGCAGTGCAGTTCGTTAACCGCAACGGGTGCACTATTCGGCTAAACAGCATGATAAGCATCTCTCATCACAATAATCATCACAAGTTAGCTAAATGTGAGAAACAAGCTTCGTGCCGTAATACAAAAAGACAAGATATATAAAAGTCGAGACAGTAAACATAATAGAATGCAAAACAAAGGGCAAAAACAAGTAATATATCATCAGAATCATCAATACACGTTAGCTGAGAGTGAGAAACACCACAGCTAATGTGCCACAATACAGAAAGATAAGATACAAAAAATTACACTATAAAAAATTCCAAAGCAAGTAATTATAATATGCATTTCGTTTGAGACCGGAGTATAGCGTTTAGTATCATATAACACATTGTATATCAGATGGGTAGGGACAAAGAAACGCCAGAGGTTGCCCCGTGACCACGTCAACAAGCGTTTCCAAACAAACTTGTACCTCATTATCGGGACCCTAGCCTGCCAGGCAGGATCCAATAACCCAGGAAAATTGCAATTTCAATATTCTCGACCAGGTCGTGAATTGGCTTCTTCTCCTTTTCTTCCATTCACATCCCGGCCGCGAAAACAACGCATGACGCAGGAGTCAATGTTCTGGCATTAGCAACAGCCAGCCCAGCCATCGCAGTGAGATGTGTAACAAAACGGTGCTAGTTAGTCCCACTCACTCTTACTGCATCAAATACGAGACATAAACGCGCTTAGTGTTCACGTGGTGTTTCCACCATTTAGGAGCTAGGCTGCGAATGCAGCGATGGTTGAACTTAGCTAGCCTCTTTATGTCTGTCGACGCGTTACGCCAGGTTTTGCAAACGTACAAGAGTGGTAGACGCATGAGTGCGTGGGAAACTGCCCTTCAAAGCAACAGTGACATCACGCCGGTGCAACATGTGAAAACTGGCAATTACACAACATACGGTTCGTAAGCTCATCTTCTATTCCAATATAACTGACTAGATGATTTTGGTAGATCACAAGCAAGTCAGCAAAACCGTGGATCTCTGCCAATCTTGAAGAAGGACTATGCGTTTCGAAGATACAAAGCACAGCCCGGAACGAGTGACAGCCAGTGCTAATCTGCCCACTGCTGACTGACACTCTTGAGAGCTGTTATAGATAAAGGCAATATCGCCGGCGTACTCCAAGTCAAGTCGCTCACCAGAAAGCAGCTCCACACGTTGTAAGTCGTGCCTAGTTAACACCGTTCCCATGACTTTGTCGATGGCGAAAACAAACAGGAAAGAGGACAACAGTCATCCTTCTCACACCACTGGAGATATTAAAGGGCGGCCATAAATCTTCCTCTGCCCGAATTATGCGCGTTCAGCACTCTCGTGACATTTACCTATTTATTGGGCACACCTGTTCTGAGCAAACAATCCTAAAAGGCATATCAATCCCCAGAAAACAAAGCATCCTTGATGTCGAGAGACACGATTATGGTCGATCACCAATAATACGGGGGTGTTCTAACAACTGACGTAAAGCGAAGATGTGTTCAATACAGCCTCAGTTTCGACAAAGACCGATTTGCTCCTAACACCCTGGCGTCCACCGATGTCAGTCTATGGAGAACTACAAAGATAAGTAACTTAGGGGCAATTGAGATCATACTGGTCACTCTATCATTGCACGTAGTTTCGCCAGACGATCATTCAGATGCTCCAGAGACGGCGTACACACATGAAGTCACGTGTGCTGCTAATATCATCTGTCAACTATGCCCCCAGTGACCCTAAACTGCGTTCGGTAAGCACCAACTCAACCCTCATGCCAACGTAGTTTGATATATATGTAAAACACCTGAATTCGCGTTTTGGCAAATATCTATGTACTGTTTCATTGCACGGGTCAACGGAAGCCAGTTCAGCAGATCGGCAAACACAAGTGCGTGGTCCAGGTCCACGCTAGTGCTACAAGGCGAGCGACAGTTTTTGACGCAGCCACTAAGGCGGTAAGTGGTCGCGATGTGACCAATTTGCACAAATGACTGCTTTGAGACTGGTGGACGCCACGTCATCATTCTGTGTGCTGTGTCAGAAGTTAGTACTCGCGAGAAATAGACGAGCATCATCATACAGATAGCAAGCGCTCAGGCACCGCTTGTACTCCACGAGACTTGAAATCTTTGAAGCCAATCTGACGGTCTACATGCGGCCGTTAATTTGGATCTAATTAATCAGGACAGCTTCAGCCCGTGTGTTTAATATTCACACCGGTTGGACCGACACTTGAAGCTGGGTCATCTCCAGAAAAACGTAATAAGGTGCTATCAGTCACATGAAGGTATGGCGAGCACAGCGCTCAAATCTGGCAACTAGGTTTTCCATAAGCAACAAAGATCGATTAGTAAGGTCTCCAGTGTTCAGGTAGGAACTGCCAGTTGGCCAATCAGTAAGTGTGCACGTTAAGGCATGCCAGTCTTAGCGAAGGTCGAGGGCTACAAATAGAAACGGATGAACTGACGTCCGTTTGGTTGAATATTAAGTTATTGACTGCACCGAAGCGAAACCTAACGAATGCGTGGGCAGAAACTAGAAGCGACTGTCGAAGCAACATTGGGGAGGGTCAAGAATCGGGGGTTGAAAAGAGAGGGGTCAAAGTGAAGTTGGTACGGGACGATAAGAATGAAAAATGTAAGAAAAGGAATAGGAAGACGGGAGGGCGTGCGCACTAGCGTCTTCACTTAGTCCATCCTGTTCGACGAGGTAGGCGCCGTTTATTATCCTCTGCGACGGCCAGAACAGTTGCTTGAAGACAAACTCATTGAATTGCGTGGGCGGGATACTGTTAGGTTACCCCAGTCTAGACAAGAGAACGACGAAATTTAGCAGCCAAAACTTTTGTTTCGGAAAACTGACTGCAAGACAAAAGGATTTTGGCACTGGGCTACTGACAGCCCGTTTTATGGAGAAAGGAGCCACCCTCACTCCAACGCGCAACCTGGACGGCCAAGAGACTAAATCAGTCTAGTCTCTAACCACGGACCAATCTGATATGAGTAGCTCTGATGGTGCGAGAAGCCCAACCAAAAATAGCCCAATGGATGGCTGAGGCACACAAACCACCGCACCATGTTAAGGTCCACTCTCGTCGCGACGGAGCATGATAACCAAGGCACAGGAATACTAAGCTATTGGAAAAAGGCCTGGGGGCCGTTGATCGGAACCGTGTTGTTAACACAGGAAGAACGCTGTACTAACGTAGTAGTCATGTAATATCCATGCAACAAATCGTGGTTGATGGGGTTGATAGATCTCGTTATAGGAG